GATGGGGAAAAACCGCCATAAAGTCTCGAGACATGTTTTTTTAAAAGTTGAACTTAAGTTAATTTTACATGGCTTTCTAAACATGCGGTTCTTTTGTGCGAGACGCGAGTGCAACAGTAATAGATGTCCGTCTAGAAAATGCGTGAAATATGCGTCCTGTCTGAACGGCTTGGTTTCGGTTTTGATGCAAACAAGATCTTCTCCGCATTGATGTTCTCTTTTTCCGCTATATTTTTAATGAACAACGCAGCAGCGCTGCATCTAGTGGCTTCAACTGGATAGGCTAACAAAAACATTATAAAACGACACTTACATCGTCATCGCATCTTGTGCGCCGCTGATAAGGCAGCCTTCCTTAACGCACACCTAAAATTCGAATGCAACGTTTTTGCATATACTGTATAAGAACTGCATCGCATATAATTATTTAATTAAATCGTAGCGTTTGTGAATTCACAATTATGCTTAATTATGATTTTTAAATGGGTTTAATATATCATGCAGCCTTGGAAAACAGACTAATAATGTGTTTTATACATTTTCGTCTGTGAAATGCGCCACTTCCAGTATTTTGCCGGTTAGTCGACACGAGCAAAATGAAATCGAGGATTTTTTTAAATCGAATAGTCAAATAAAAATCGACGAATCTCGGCAGCCCTACAATGATGTAAAACCTATAATACACTATATTACTGATTCACAGATTAATTATTAACAATTTAATAAAAATTAAAGAATGTCCTGCCATTAGAATAAAGGCATGTTCACATCAACACAAATTGTTTGGAAAATTCAGTTCGATTTTTGCAGTCAGCTGCAAAAATAACATAACATTTTAACATATTATATATACTACTATATTAGTATATAAAATAACAATTTTAGCAATGAGTTCCAGTAGCTTTAAATACCCTTAGTTATAACTATTAATATCCTCTCCTGCAACACTTATTCAAAATTTATTTTGCTTATTTTTAATGCGCTTAATTTTCTCCAAATTTCCATACACTGCACTGTAATGGAAGTTGCAGTGGCCACTGAAGACACACTACAATTTATTTTTCACTGACTTCAATTCATACGGATTCTAAGGCGGAAGAAAATACTTTACTTTTTTTTTTTTTTTAAATGTGCCTTAGAAAAAAAAAACATTACTGGTGTGTATCTTAATACAAATCAATCGCACTGACATATTTTAAGATATGTCAGTGCAAGTTGCTTCCAGTTAAGACAGCTAAAACATGCATTTTAGTCTGGGAATATAGGCTTAAACCTTGTTAAACTGGGCATAAATCTGCAGGATTGCAGTGTTGCAGTAAAGCAGAGTAGAGTTTTTTGACTTTGCAGAGTTTGCTGTATTATCACGACAGTGTCCATAATTTTTCGAGCTCAAAGTCTAGTGTGGCCACAGCATGAGGCTAAACGTGGACATGATCATGCATACAGTCTATTTGTCTATTCAGACCAATGTATTAAAAAAACACAATAAAAAAAATAAACGACAGATGGGCTGAATTAAAATGCAAATTCACTCTATATCTTGTAATAGCAAGTTCAAACACTTACATAACTAACGTTAAAAAAAAAAAATTCCACTAATCAATGAGAGAGAGAGAGACAACTGAACAGATCCTACATGTCTTCTGTTTGATATTGGACAGATGTTCCCATCTCATGATCTTTAACCTCAGACTGGAACTTAATTTTGCAACATCTCATTCCCATCTGGAAACACCTTGACCTTTGAACTTCACTCCCCTGCAGGTTTGCACCAACCCCAAATTCCTCAGCTACTTCATCAAGCTGCAGTGTTTCAGTAAAGATATGAATCATAATCATCACTGCTATACTCCTGAGTGGAACACTTCACCCTCTCACTGTTGCTGCAGTAAGTTTACTGCATATCACTTCAGGAGATGAGCAAAACTACATATTTTTTAAATCTGGTGCGTTGTCTGAAGGACTAGCTGACTAGCAAGCCTGTGTTTACTATAATAACACTGGTTGGGTCAGGTCCATCACACACAGATTAGACACGTACTCAGAAACACCTAGACAGAACACAAGGAGTCTTGATTTTTGCTTTGCAAATTGTGACTTTAAGGTTGTGGTTTTATACAGGGAAGCCTAAATCAAGCCCTGCCAGCTCAAGTCAGCCATCAGACCCATAAAACGCAAGGATATTCCAGCAGTCAAAAATACTCCAGGAAAAGCTGATGTCATTTATTTGCCAATTCATGAACAAACTGTCATTTCTGGCCCACAACTAGGTGACCGAAAATAGTGCATACTAAAGAATAATTAGATGTTGCCAAAGTACGTAATGACAATCCCTGGGAAATCCCACAGCACAAGATTATAGTTTATTCACAGCACCTGCAATTAAAGTATTTCTTTGTTATGATTACAGCTCATTTACTTGAGCTATTGTGACTGACTAATCACACTAAACAGAGCAGTCAATGTTTAAGAGTTTATAGTAAATCTGAAGGTGAAGAAAAGCACTACATTGGACTGTTGCATGAGAATAAAATACTGCATTGCTGTTGGAGGGAGTTCTTTTGCACTGGCACTTGTGCCAAAGCGGAGAATGAAATCAAGCTGCGTGCCGATCCATCAGCGAAATAGCAGTGTTTTTCATGAAAAGTTTTAAATGCAGTGCTCTCAACGTCAAACTCAATAACAAATCACAGCCAGATTTATGTTCAACTCAGCCTAACTTATGAGTACTTAATGGCTAAGTAAATTAGACTTTGTCTAAGACTAAGACAATCCGTGGTAAATCCTGTAAAATGCCTTTGGGCTTCTCAGCAGGATTGGCGTCTGCTTAACTCTCAGTCTTAAGGTGAAGTGTGTGAGACCCTCATGGTGTAAAGATCCATAATGTTCCCATTAACTTCCAATTTAACGAGGTCAAAGCTGTGTTGAGGAAGTTATGCACTAGCAGCAGATTTGAAGGATTCCCTCCCTACTCACAATATTTGTTACTGCAGAGGACAAAGGAACAGTTGACCCAGGAGAAAACAGGGTCTTAAGTGGCTTAAGGGTTAAATGGTGCTAAAACTAGAGCAAATTCAGTAGCTCTTCTGATCCTGGGCTGCCCCTTAGATCAAACCTGCAACCAGCCAAGATCCTTAACCACAAGCCTCTTTCCATTTCCTGAACACGCCCCAATACAAAATGACTCAAAGTGAAGAGTTTAAGAGTTTCGCGTCTTTCAAAGGATCACAAAAATGACCAACTTTTAAGAGATTTCCCACATTAAATGGATAGTACGGCTGGGCGGTATATCGAGTTTGTACGATATATCGATATTTTCTTTATAAGCGATTCGATATGAGGCAATACCGTTTATATCGATATACAGTAGTTTGATACGAGCGCATCTGAAAATATAGTGGAGGACACAGTCTGAGCTGCTGCGGGAGAAAGTGCATAAATTTGTTCTAAACATGTGACAAGCTTCATATTAAGGCCTTTAAAAACTGGTAAGACAGTTTATAGTTTCGTTTTAGAGACACTAGGCTACTCGCGCTGTTTAATGTGTTTGAGATGTGCTGTCTTCCTGAATGCATAACTTGCATTTCACATGTATATTCTCCATCTGTAAAACTAAAATGTTAGAAAGCCATGGAAATATTTCCATTTTTCTGTCAGAAGTGCATGAGCCTTCTGCTTTGGTATTCTCCACTAAACTTCACAGACGTCACTTCAGTGAACGAGCGCCGCCACGCGCATGCGCGCCAAACAGACGGAGCTCAATTAAATAGTAGCGCAATAATTCGGACAAAAATATACATTTTTACATACAATAAATGTGACATGTAGAATTTTAAACTTACAAATAAGTCTATTTTTATGATAGCACTGACTGTAGTGACTGTAATGGAGTAATCAAAATAGCCTAACACTGTTTGCTTTTGTTCTCATTTATTTTCATTTTTAGTTTAGTGAATTTAACTTCTACTTTAAAAGCCTTATTTTTGTTTTTAGATTGCAATGTTACAACGAAATGCGATTTTAACCCTTTTTGCACATAATATAAAGGCATATATATATATATATTTATTAAATACAGATTTTTTTTAAATCCAAATACAAAAACGGTTATACCAAGATATAGTGTTGTCACGGTACCAAAATTTCAGTATTCGGTACCAATACCAGTGAAAATCCACGGTTCTCGGTACCAATTTCGGTACCAAAGCAAAACACAAAAACATGCTAATTAAAAAATTTGACTATACTTTCATTTCCGAAGTACCGGGTATTTTGACAACACTACCAAGATATATACCGTATATCGCAAATCGGCCAAAAAATACAGAGATATGAATTTTTGCCAATATCACCCTCGCCCTAATGGATAGAAGGTGTTATTCTACACAGGGAAGCGAAGTCCTTGCTAATATACTCTTATTTAGTGGTGTTGGGGATTTGAACAAAGCCCTAAACCTAAATACTAAACTTTGCTACAGTAATCAATACCTGTAATTGTGTGGCTTATGGAGGAGTGGTTTCCGATTACTTATCCAAGCAATATGACTTGCCTTTTTTTCCTCCTTGTGGACTACGATAAAACCAGATGAGGTGCTGGGGTGGGATCTTCTGACAATCTACTAACCACAATCAAACTAACCACAAGGTAGCATCAAGGCTGAGACTTTTGAACCGTTCATTGTATTTAGAAACTGTAAAATCTAGTTATGATAGTTATACTCTGTGGCTGTCCATCAGACAAACCTTATCTACACCTCTTAATCCGACAGACAGACAAAATACAGAGGAAGCCAGTACTGCTTCTTCCTCTGCTGTCTGCTGTAAGTGCATTACAGGACAAATCCATAATAAGGCTGAAAAGACACAGGGCAAAAGGTCACACAACCAGCACAACACACAAAAATAACACATCAGTAAAGCTTCAGTAATAACAAAAAAGTTGTTTTGTGTGTGTGTGTTTTTTTTTATTAATAAAAAATAAGATTTTAATGTTTCTGAAAAAGTTATCTTACTATCACCATAACGACATTTCTTTAATAAAAAACTGAAATATTGTAAAATATTCTTAGAATTTGTCAAAATATTTCAAACTGAAAAACTTTTCTATTTTAATATATATTAAAATGAATATTAAATACATTAATTTATTCCTGTAATACCATATAGCTGTTTTTTTCAGTGTCACTTGATATTAGGGCTGCACGATAAATCGCATGCGATATTTAACGCGCATCTTGTCAGAAAGCCGGTTCTGTAATCAGCGGTAAATCTCCATCACGTGCGTGCTTTCACATTGAGCAGCATTAACTACACAGAGCCGTTGTTCACTGACGAGCTGCGCAAAAAATCGCGCGAATATGAACGTGGTTTTGCGCAGCTCGTCAGTGAACAACGGCTCTGTGTAGTTAATGCTGCTCAATGTGAAAGCACGCACGTGATGGAGATTTACCGCTGATTACAGAACCGGCTTTACTGATAAGATGCGCATTAAATATCGCATGCGATTTATCGTGCAGCCCTACTTGATATAGTGGTCAAGAAACATTAATTAGTATTACCAATACTGAAATCAGTTGAGCATACTGAAATCAGTATCATACCATATTTTTTTCAGAATTCTGTGATAAATAAAATTTTGAAAGAACAGCATTTAAAAATATTATAATGATAAAAAGTATTATTTATTATTATTATTATTATTATATTAAACATTATGCATGTATTTACTATCACTTTAATGCATCCTTGCTAATTTAAAGTATTTAGCAAAGAAAAAAAGTTTAAAAAAAAGTTTTGTAAGGTATAGTATGTAACTGAATCAGTATTAGTTCAGTGTGAACTCAAAACTCAAATTAAACTTAAAAGAGGAAATGTGAGGAGATTGGTTTCATTAAAGGGGTCATACGATGCCATTTTAAAGATCATTATTTTGTGTATTTGGTGTAACAGAATATGTTGACATGCTTTAATGTTCAAAAAACACATTATTTTTCAAATACTGTACACTATTGTAGGTCCTCTATGCCCCACCTCTCTCAAACGCTTCGTTTTCTACAAAGCCCCCTCCTTTGACAAGCGCAGTCTGCTCTGATTGGCCAGCTGACCCAGTGCATTGTGATTGGCTGAACACCACAAGCACACGTCGGAAATGTAACGCCCCATAATCGCGAGCTTCAGCTTTCAAAGTAAATATCAAGACAGTTAATAATGTCGTTTGTTTTACCATCAGTTCAAGCCCGAAAGGGCAACAGAGTCGCGTGACAGACACAGTGATGATGCAGTACACAAGCCTCGGTTAAGACAGCTGACGTGCTATGATTTCTGACAAGCTGTTCACTCTCCTGTGATGTGACCCTGTTCCCCTCACACACACACACACACACACACACTTCCACATATTGACGTAGACATGTGGGGGCGTGTTAGAATGAGCCATTTTAGGTAGGCGTGGCTGACTCTTAACTTTTATAAAGAATATCTCTTTGGATTTGAGACTTTAAAGATCTTCTTTATGCACCAAGAGCTTGTAACACTCCAAAGAGAAAGGAAAACTTGAAATCGCATCATATGACCCCTTTAATCTAGAAAAGGAAAACAGCTCAAATTAGCTGAGCTCCTGAGAGTGGCAACACTGAGAATCTTTTCTTCGGTTCTTTCTCATCCATCACTTCCTCTGAGAGACAGAGACCGAGGCTTATGGAACCCAGATGGGTTTTGAAATGTTTATTGTGTAAGAGGTTCATCTAGCAACCATTACTTGAGACAAGTGCTCTTTAAGTGCCATTTCAGGAAGGGAACAATTCATTACAATCAAATGTCCAACCTTCAGGGGGTGTTCTTACACAGATTCTTCAAACTGTTGCAGTGCAATATCTCATGTTAGCTCTCATCTATTTAAAATTTGACCTCAGCTGTGCATTGTGAAAAAAGCTACAGAAATAAATTTGAACTGAACTGAATAGCTGTACCAGTCTACTAGATAGATAGATAGATAGATAGATAGATAGTTAGTCTACAAAACATACATCATCATCTCTGAAAGCAGAACACGCTCGTTTGAGAATAGTTTTCATTCTCTCACACATAATGGTTTTATGAACAGTGCTCTAATATTGCGTTATATTATATTGTGCATAAATCCCATGAGTCAATTATGTAAAGCCACGCCCCGGGTGGAGACCACACCCGTTATAAATAGAACTCTCGCTCACATCTGCGCCCGTTCTGCGCCAGACAGCATAATTATAATAATAACAACAACAACTGGTCACTTTAAACATACAATTGACCAGCGCGAGGTTTGCATAAGCATCCTCACCAGCGCGTGCATGTTCTAATCAAGAGTAGCGTTTGCAACAATCCTAAACGGATTTCCATGCAGAATCTACATTATTAAACTAACTTAAACAATGTAAAAAAGGAAAATTATTACAATCATGCCGATATGGCCAATAAGGAAAAACGCCATTTACACAGCGCATTTTTAATAAAAATTTATAATACAGTAAGTCATAAATAATGTATTGAGATGCAGTATTCATAATTCAAATACGCATTGTGTGATTTAGCCAACTATACTGTAACTAAGCTATGACTGAATCAAAGTTCTTCTGACAGTACAAGATTTACTATGATGGATGTCCATATCACATATGGAATCAAGTGTTACCTTGATAAAAATCAGTGAAGCATGTGTTAATTCGTTTTAATCGTGTATCTGGTTTAATATATAAATGAGTATATATAATGGGCTCGGTGTGCTATAATTATGAGATAACTTGGTATTTTTGATAATTGTAATATCGTAAACTGTTTGCCCATCTGCTCATACGGATATCAGCGCTCGAGCGCTTAGCCAGCTAACGTTAACCCCTGAACTACACAAACCTTTACATTTATGACCCCTATCTTGTTATTAACCTTACACCTAGAGAGGACGAAACATATGTCTTACCTTAGTGAAATTCCTGCAAGCGTTTTACCCTTTATTGACCTATTCCTCGTCGGAAAGCAAAAAATTCCCGCACCCGTCTTCACTGTCTCAGCCCAAGGGCGGTAACACAAGAAACCAGACACTAGAAATGCCCTGGTGATTGACATTCACAACATCCAATCAGAATGTAAGAGCACGCCCATAAACCACAGTTCCCGCCTACTGGAAACACGCAACCAATCAGACAATGTAGAATTTTAGTGGTACAAAGGAGCATGGGATATGAAGTCCACAGGTGGCGTTATCAGCGTGATTATGTCATTGAATTATTCATTGATTATTTGAATTATTGTATTTTCTTAATTGTTCTGAGTTTTTGTCAATAAGTAAATTATTACAATTAGAATTTATATTGTTATTAAATGAGATTTTTTTAGGTGCTTATATACCAATCATTATTTTTAGTATTTTTTTTTTTTGAGTATTTTTCCAAATCATTCCTTTACAAAGATCAGCAAGCAATAAGATACTTGTGGAGACCTGTAGTGAAACTGGCCAGATCAGTGCACACACTGCTGAATGGCGTGTCGTCCACCTGAAATAAAATCCCCAGAGAGGGGGATGAGGCATTTCAAAGCATTCTTTAAGGAGAAACTACACTCTACATTTGTATAATAGACTCGGCAAAGATCTTGCTTCATTTAGAATGTCAGATGATTAGAGAAATACCTATTTTTTTGTCAAAAACAAAAATGCAAAACAATAAAAAACACATTGCATTTCCAAAGAACTGGGCTACTTATCCTTAATCTGAATCAGAAGCACTTTTATGAATATGCCTATTGTAACTTATTATGTCCACTTATTTAATAACTTATTAGTTATTAAAACCTTATGTGAATGTGTGGTATGTTGTTTTAAATAATGGCAGAAGTTCATTCATGTTGCACAGTGATGATGAACAAGACCTTTTTCAACTACCCTGAAGCCATCAGCATTACATCATGTCTATCAGTCATCAGAGAATATCAGTGCCAGGTACTTTTTCAACAGTGTGTGAGGAAATGATGCCAGACTCAGGGATAAAGAATAGTAACTAACTATGTTCTACTACTCTACTTCTACCTATCTTGTTCATCCATTGGTGAGCAAGTGATATAATGCTAAATTTCTCCAAATCTGTTCCAATTAAGGAACAAAATCATCTACATCTTGGATGGCCTGAGGGTAAGGACATTTTCAGCAAATTTTCTATTTTGGGTGACAATTCTTTTAATGAACTTAGCTATGCTGCTTGAGTAACAAGTCAAGCGCTACAGTTTAAAGGGTACTTGAAAGACAAGTTCATTAAACTCAAAACAGTCAAATAATTCTGGTTTTGTAAAATGTGTCATTTTCATGAACTCAAAAGAAAAGGTACGTTCTAAATACTCAATCAAGGCTACTTCAATAAACAAATATACTCAGATTATCTGATTCAAAAGTGTACACCTCCCAGCACATAATGCATCATATTGCATTAAGCGAATGTCATGTATTTTTGTAATATTTTTGTCGTGAAGATAGAAAACATGTCTTTGGAGAGAAAATAAATGACCTGTAGGCCTACTTTGGGTGTCTTGTTCTTTATATTTATTTTTTATATAAAACCAGTGCACTTATTTCACTCCTCCTCTGACTGCTTTGGCTTCTCAAACTAACCTAATGATTCAGTGCATGCAAGGGGCTTTTGTCTGCATAGAATATCTCCAGGGCTTCAACTTTAGAAAAAAAAGCAGGGCTTTTATTTTATAAAAGTGTTGCTGACGCTTTTAGTTCATAAACTTTCACCCGGATGTTGATCATTATTTACAGCCGGTGAGAATGGCGGACATGGACGAGCTGTTCGGTAGTGACGGCGATAGCGACAACGAGCAACGAGGTACTTTACATTTGCATTAATGAATGAAGATGTGTTTCATTTATGTGTTAAGCAGCTATATTTCTATCAGATGAGCACTTATTTAGCGTTATGTGCAGTTGTAAGACGATTGGTCTTTCAGCTCTGCACACATTTTTTTGTCATCGTTAAATTCATTATTTTTATGGAGCAGTTTATCAAACCTTTAGACTAAATATAAAAAAAAACTTTAAAAAGTATGCATATGTGTTTTTTTGTTGTTGTTGAGTGTCATATTTGATACATTTAGCTGTTATGGTTCATATACAGTAGTCAACATTTGAAGTGAATCATAAAAGTAAGTCAAAGTTGTCCTAAGACAAGAACGCTTTTAGGACAACTTCGATGAAAGACTAGTGTAGTATGATATAGAAAAATATGGAGCTCTTATTTGTGGAGGGGGAAAAACACAGGCCCAAATTATTCATAGGCCCAGTATGTTATGATATGATAGTAGGCTTTAGTGTTAATGAAAATAATACACAATTAATACTAATTGTTTACTCTGTTATCATGTGAAATGTTTCTGACGGACAGTTTTATGGTCTGTGATTTAATGTGTAATGAAGTTAAACTAAAGTATACTTTAAGTCAGTTTGGATAAAAGCATATGCTAAATAATTTAGTAAACTAATGTATGTGTTGATGTGTTTCATCCAGATTCCGGCTCTGGTTCCGCCTCTGATTCGGAGCATGAGAGACCCAGATCTCCCAGCAACGCCTCTGGCAGCGAGAGTGACCGAGATCATGACGAAGATGAGGATGAAGATGGTGGAAAGCCGAGCAATAAAGAGCTGTTTGGAGACGACAGTGAAGACGAGCGCGGAAGCCAGCACAGCGGCAGCCAATCAGAACGATCCGGCAACCAATCAGACGTGAGTATGCACTCGGACAACGAACACAGCAGGTCAGAGGGCCATCACGAGGAGGACGATGATGACGATGAGAGGGGCCACAGATCAGATGTGGGGAGTACAGCCTCAGGAGCAGGAAGCCACAGGTCTGACAGAGGAAGTGGAAGTCCAGGGTCAGAGGCGGGCAGCCCACGCTCAGAAGCAGGAAGTGGGCATTCAGATCCCGGCACACCTCATTCAGACGGAGAGGGGTCAGGGAAAGACGTCCATTCTGGAGATGAGAAGTGGGATGGAAAAAGTGACCAATCAGAGGATGAGGACAAACAGCAGAACTCAGATGATGAGAGGGATCATTCTGACGATGAAGGGGAGAGACAAAAATCAGGTGAGGTATATTGGAATGGTATGTATATATATATATATATATACATAGAACAAGACTAAGAAGAAATTCATGCATGTGTTGTGACATTTTTCATGTGAAGTTCTCTTGTGCGTAAAAATATGAATAATGTGCACAATTATTAGTGAATGAGACCCAATGTATTTGTGGCAAAAAAAAAATGAAGAACTACTTCTCAGGCAGCCCCTGAAATGTTATTATTAGGGTTGCAAAAAGGTGGAAAATTTCCAGTAAATTTTGGAAACTTTCCAGGATTTTCTTTGGAATATTCCAGGTATTTTTTGGAAAGTTTCCGGAAATTTATCGGAAATTTTCCACCCCTTTGCAACCCAAGTTATTATTGGATAAAAAATGTATCTATAACCTTTTTATTTTAACAAATCTTTGTGTTTGTGGTCATATACTTTAGAGTCACTGAAGGGCAGTGACAGCGAAGAGGAATTCACTCGGAAGAAAAAGAAAAAAATAGCTTCATACTCCGACTCAGATTCTGACCCTGATTCACAGAGTGAGTGATAGATGATTGAATGAATGATGAAACACACTGTCATACACACAGCAGCTCTGTTAAACTGTTTGTGTTTGTGCGTGTAGGTAAGAAGCCAGCAGCAAATGATCTGTTTGGGGAAGCAGATGATATTTCATCAGACAGCGATGCAGAGAAACCTCTCACACCTGGGCAACCAATGGTCAGATATTTTCACACACAGCCTCAGAATTTATATTTTCTGTGATTGGTCACATTTTATTTTAAGGTCCAATTCTCACTATTAACAAATCGTTAACTATGACTTTTGTCTCAAACTCCTAATTTGCTGCTTATTAATAGTTAAGGTTAGTAAGGTAGTTATTAAAGGGGTCATATGATGCGATTTCATTTTTTCGTTTCTCTTTAGAGTGTTACAAGCTCTTGGTGCATAAAGAAGATCTGTAAAGTTGCAAAGACTAAAGTCTCAAATCCAAAGAGATATTCTTTATAAAAGCTTTTTAGCAGCATCATATGACCCCTTTAAGTTTAGGTATTGGGTAGGATTAGGTATGTAGAATACGGTCATGCAGAATATGTTAAGTAAGCAACTAGTTAATAGTGAGAATTGGTCCTTATACTAAAGAGTTACCATATGATTAAACTCAGATTAAAGTAATTTTCGTTATTTTATTTGAAAATATTCCAGTTTTTATGCTGTAACTTTTTCTTGCACCGTGTTTACGCTTGTTATTAATACTACCAATCTAGATGTGCCAGCAAATGAAACTGCAAAAATCATAGTCACGATTATTTAACACAATTAGAGGTGGGTGATATGATCAACATATTATTTCATGATATGAATAATTTTAGATATCAGTGAATTTTTGCAGGTTTTTTTATACCAATTTTAAGTTAAAAACATCCTTCATCAAAAGTTAAAGTTTTTTGGGTGTTAGTATCAATATGTTAGTCTTAAGGTTATCTATAAGGCAGTGTGCTCCAAAACAGTGACAAAATTTGCATTTAGAAGATATAAGCATTCAATGCTTGCAGTTCGTCACTTCCGCCAAAACGGCTCAACGATTTTTTTGACGTCACATCGTACTTCAGCTTCTCATCAAACTTTCTGTCCAATCAAATGCTCTCTAGAATCCGAAGCGGCCGCCCCTACACTATAAAATAGACGCTGAAGCCGCGGCTGAAATCTGTCACTTGTCCACAGAATTAGTATTTTCTGTAGAGTGAATGGCACGTAGTGCACTATATAGGTGACAGGGAACGATTCAAACAGTGTAAATATGCTTTCCATTGAGGAAAAAAAGAAGTCTGGTTTCGCGCTGTGTCACGCTAACCATCGCACCGCACACACACTCTGCTCCGGTCCAGAGACACGATAGCACGGAGCGGATCACATGCGCGAGTCGGCGCAGACCACAAAATGTATCGGAGCTATTTGAATTCTACACA